TACAAAATCCAGCTCGTCAGGAGGGGTTCCTCCCGGCCCTCCCGGCGAGCTGGTTTAAAAGCCAGCTCGTCGGAAGGGATTGACGAGCTGGTTTAAAAGCCAGCTCGTCGGAAGGGATTCCTTCCGACGAGCTGGCATGTACACAGGCTCGCCGGGAGGGGTTCCTCCCGGCGGTGTGACCTTGGCCTCTCTGGGCCGAGGGGTTTGAAAAAAAAAAACAGTGGGGCCGTCCCATAGGCCCCATGCCTGGGTCCTATGGGACAGCCTGGCGTGCAGGCACGCACACCAACCTGCAGGCAAGTGGCGTGCCTGCCTACACGCCATTCTGCAATGGCGTGCAGGCGCACACGCCAATCTGCAGCTGGCATGCAGATTGGCGTGCGCCATGGGGGTTGGTGTGCGCTTATCAACCCCCCTCTTGATTGGATCCCAATATGGCAGCCGGTTTAGTTCAGACCACCTGATCCCATTCTTCTTGACATGTTCTTGTTTTGATTCCAATGTACTCAATTCTTTCCAAGCAGATGTGGCCATTCGGGCATTCCTTGAGTTTTTCATGCGCCCAATTTTCATATTTTCAATTTCATTCTTCTTAACATCACACCAAGAACATAACTGGGTGGCTGAATGAGATGCATGGCCAGCAACTTTGTGAGTTGCCACAACATCACCAATCAGGATGCCAAGGTGAATTGATACCTTTCTTCCATGTGGGAATTTTTGGGTCATTATTTTGATTCCAACATCCAGTTTGATGAGTTGATCAACAATAGGTGCCATGAGATGTGATATTGTTGTGACATTTGGTTCATGAGGAGCTGGAAGGATTGCAGCAATAAAAGTGTATTCTGTCTTGTGACGCAACAATGGTGGTAAGTTGAGACAGTTTAGAACTACTGCACCCATTGAGGCTTTTCAACCAGCTTGTTTATTTCCAAATGGATTGAACCAATCCACGTACAAGGAAAAAAACAAGGCGGAGCTCATTCTTGGACGTATCTTTGTTTTCTTTGATTTTGAAGCTCTTGAATGCTGGTGACTGTAGAATGTCAATAATTGGATCAGGTGGTGCGGAACTGACTTGATTGGCCCACAATTCAATTTCATCTTTGATTTCTTGTAAGTTCAAGAACCATGTAAGCCAGCTTTCAAAGCTTTGTATTGAGTAACCCAAGCAAGGATGCACAAGGGAAGCTGTTTTACGGTCCTTCTCCAAGTAAGTGGTGAAGTTAACTGAAGTTGGCTTGATTTTCCGATATTTAAAGAGTTCTTCATCACATATTGAAACACTTGGTGCTCTACGATATGTAAATTGTTCCGGGGCCTCTTCAGAAAAGTAGAGTGAAAAGCATGCAGGACAGCATATGTAATGTTCAAGTTCAGGCAGGAGCTTGAGGCGCTTGGTGATGGTGCGTATGTCCAAGGGAAGGGGGGTTGATAAACGCAAGCCAACCCCCCTTGCGCACGCCAAACTGCACGCCAGGCGCAGATTGGCGTGCGCGCCTGCACGCCAAAGAGGATTGGCGTGCAGGCCTGCACGCCAGTCTGCTGCAGGGGGGATTGGCCTGCA